TGTTTGATATATAAAGGTAATTCTAAATAACAAAAGAAAAAACAGTAAAAAGTGGGTTAAGCATTAATTCTATAGTCATAAAGATGAAATTAAAGTGTTTCTTCATTTTCTTTATCAATATGATTTTAAATCAAAGGAACTAATTATTGGATGGTAACCCATATTATTATAATTGATAAATACCAGTTTTTCCAAATAGATATCGTGTTTTTTCCTGAATAATAGCATACTTTTGAGGCTAGATTATGAATAACGTGCATTTTAGTCTAATGATCTCTAATCTCTTTTCATCTACAATTTGCACAATATAATAATGCAGTATATATGATATATGATATAAGGTATACAAAGCTGCCTGCAGGTGAATGACTAATCACCTCGAAATTTTTATAGCCGTAAGTTAATGAGACGGAAATTAACGTTCTTTCTCCTCTCTATCGAAGTGCCTTTCTAGTTTACGTTTATGATTGTTTCCATATGTCCATCCCTGCGTTCCGTTTGGCACTTCGGAGCGTTACGAAGCGCATAATTTCAACGGAACGACCTGTAGAGCGATACTGTATTTTTTGTGTGGTGCACAAGCGCCACGGCCCCGAGAAGTGGTGCGCCTAGCAGACGACGCGTACTTGTTTACAAATACAGCTAATGTAAAATGACAAGGAATATTTTTCGATATGGATTCTGCCATATGAACTTTTAGGATTAATTAAAACCTAATGGGTACTTCTTGAGTGATATTTGACTAAATATTCAGCTAAGCAAAGGATGTTGATTGTGGATGAGTGAATGATTCCTGACTTGTATGGAAAATATGATATACATAGATAAAAAGATAACTGTTATAAATCCTAGCATAAGTAAAAGCCACAGTAAATATGTTTAAACACAAAACTTAAAGCACAAAAAGCTCGTATTGGTCATTGTTTACATTTAAACGTCACCGAAGCGCTGTAAACGTTCCGTTCGAACGTATTCTTTGTAGCGCACAAAAGTATTCCGTATTTTCCATATCTTGCTAACAATTCAGTATCCTATTTACTGTTGTCAATAGGATCATAATTAGATTCTTTGTAATAGCTGTCGGAAAAGTGATTACGGTGGGGCATAAACTGTATCATACCATGTATTTATCAGTTCTACGTTAATCTGCATTCACTGGTTATTTATCTATTTATCTCTACAGCTGATGTTGGGTGCTAATAAAGAAAACAAGACATAAGTTTTGACAGTAAATAAGACTGTTTAGAGTGACATTGATCAGCCTTGCAGACAATGGCATAAGTTCCTGAGTTTCTGGGGATGTAATGAAAATGAATTTGAGTTTGCTTCTTCACCGTGATAGCGCTTTGCTATAGGAATCGTTCACAAGTCCCAGGTTAATCTTTGATAAGTTTTCCTTGCTCTTCTCCTCATTCTTCTTTTGCAGGGAAGCAGATATGTGAAATCATATGTTTTAACTACATTCTTGGGAAAGATAAATCCGAAATTTTGATCACGTTAAAATTGGTCTTATATACAACTATATATATGATAGTATTTATAAATAACATTTGATATGTAACAGGTAAACGGCGATTCGTTGATTTAATTATACGTTATTTATAATTTATCTGGTCAATTCAATATACGGACTCTACAGCCACATTTCACTCTGTCGCCTTGACAAGAATACATGCCATGCCCAATGTAATACAAGTTTATTTATTGTATTTACACATAGATGGCTCTACAAGTGCTTAATCACCAAGGAGTCGGTTATTAGTCTTACGTATCTCACTTGTTTACCTGTTTCCTCGACTTTTGGAAAGGGGCTTTTGCATTATTTCATTGTCTTAAATGTTATCGAAATTTTAAGAACAATTTAATAATCATAACATAAATAACAATAATAACGGTATCGTTATCAACTGTATTAAAGAGAAAAACACATTTTCCCGCCAAATCAAGGAATGGGGAAATCAGGATCGGTCACTGGGACTACTGATAGACTCCTTGCCGGCTGAGCACATGTGGAGTCATCTGTATGTAACAACATTCAGAAAAAAACTACAGGGGACAGAGCATAAATCCGGGGCGGTTGTGTTAACTTACGGTGTAGTTTTATTTTCATATTGAACCCGTTCAGTATTGTTCATATACCTGCATCTACCCACAAAATAGATTTATAATCTATCTTAATCTACCTCACACATTATTCCGCCTTATAGCAAAGCAATCGATAAAACAGACAAGTGAACGCACAAACAAACAAATAGATGAATAAATAGATAAATTACTGAAATATTCTATCCGCAAATTGTAAAGAAAGAAAAGAGTGCAGATAATTACAACTTTCCAGAATTATAATATAATCAAGATAATGATCGCCATTGTTGATATTGATGGTTTTGTGCTGTTGTCATCCTCAGGGTTACAATTATAAAAAAATAATAATGGTAGTGATAAGGATGATGATGGTGATAACAATACTAATAAACAATGATAATAAAAATAATAATAATAATAAAAATAATAACAATATTGATAATGATAATAACAATAATGATAATGATAATAATAATAATAATAATAAAAATAATAACAATATTGATAATGATAATAACAATAATAACGGTATCGTTATCAACTGTATTAAAGAGAAAAACACATTTTCCCGCCAAATCAAGGAATGGGGAAATCAGGATCGGTCACTGGGACTACTGATAGACTCCTTGCCGGCTGAGCACATGTGGAGTCATCTGTATGTAACAACATTCAGAAAAAAACTACAGGGGACAGAGCATAAATCCGGGGCGGTTGTGTTAACTTACGGTGTAGTTTTATTTTCATATTGAACCCGTTCAGTATTGTTCATATACCTGCATCTACCCACAAAATAGATTTATAATCTATCTTAATCTACCTCACACATTATTCCGCCTTATAGCAAAGCAATCGATAAAACAGACAAGTGAACGCACAAACAAACAAATAGATGAATAAATAGATAAATTACTGAAATATTCTATCCGCAAATTGTAAAGAAAGAAAAGAGTGCAGATAATTACAACTTTCCAGAATTATAATATAATCAAGATAATGATCGCCATTGTTGATAATAGAGTAATAACAATAATAATAATGATATAATGATATAATAATATAAAGATGATGAAGATAACGAAGATGATGATGATAGTAGTAGTAGTAATGACAATAGTAATAATAATAAGGATGATAATAAGAATAATGATAACTGTTATTATTTGTATCATTATTATTGCTATCATTATTATTATGACGATGATGGTAATGATGACACAATAAAGATGATGATGATAATAATAATGATAACAATAATAATAAAGTTGATAATGATAATGATAACAATGATAATAATAATGATAATGATAGTAATACTAATGATAACAATGGTAATAATAATGATAATGATAGTAGTATTAATAACAATAATGATAATGATAGTAGTATTAA